CCCCAAAACCCCAAAACCCCTATAGGTAAAATTTGCGATAGTAACGGCGTAAAATGGCTATATAAACATATTATAATCTAATTTAATTATTTAAACATAATTTAATGTGCTGTTGTTCGGTAAAATGCTGCAGAATTTATCTAGCAGTAATAGCAGTCATCATTATTGTAAGTTAAACTTATATTAGCTTCTATATATTTTCCAAATAACATGAATTCATCTGAAAATAATAATGTTAGATTGCTGGAATAGTAGTATGCATCTTCTCTGGACTCGTAAAAAACGAGGCTATCTTTGATAGTAACGATGACTTCCAAAAATATGGTCGAATTCCTTTTGCTCTTATTTTAAGTCTTGGAATCATTTTACTTTTGACTGGACTTTACACATTCATAACATCTTATAAATACAACAGAATCATGAGAATAATTGTAAGTAATGATGTTTCTATCTTGTTGATATTAAGTCTTGTTTAAAAGGCTAAATTAACGAAATATACTTAAAATTTAATGTTTATAGCTTGGATTTCTGGGCTTCAATTTATTTATTACTTTGATCGTATCTGGTTCTATTCTAATTGAAGTATATAGTAAGCAAATTTAGTATACAATAAATTTGATAGATTCTGGTATGGATTTGATGGATGATAATATATGTGGAACATTAGACATTAAGTAGTATAAGGAAAATGACGATATGCATAACCTTGTCCTATTTGCTGGGTTTTATGACTTCGTTCTATTAAATCTTTCTAATGAATTCATGTGCTCAGATGTATGCCCATGTAAAAAAGTTGACGTTAATCTATGGAGTGAAAATCAACTAAATTTTGCAAGTAGAACCAAATTTTAATACGACGATAAAAGATATGATGTAGAATAAGGTTTTTCGCCACTAATTTTCCTTGAAAACGGAGGTTACAGTAATTTCTATGATTGCTTGTAGGTTGATAAGATGGTTGATAAAAAATACCCTAATAAGTCAGCATTAATACCTAAAGGCATACTGCAGATCATAAAAAAGCTTGAGAACTCTTATTTCTGCAACAATTTCTGCGAGTCTAGTGTGTTCTTTTTGTTCAGAGATATAACTGAGGGACCTCCAAAAAGTAGCTGTTAGAAACCAATTAAAGACATGCTTAAAAGATTATTAGAAAATGGGGGTATTATCTGTTTCTTTGCTTCTTTCTCATCAATCTTTCTGCTTCTTGGTTTGTTCTTTAATTGCAGATATAAGAACATGACAGATTACGAAAATTGGTAAAAATAGGTTTAAGACAATGAAAACGGGTATGCAATAGAGGAATATAAAATTGAAGATTCTAATGATATAGGCTATTAAAGTAGATAAAGTTAGAAAGGACTTCATTTAAGACAAAATGATATTGGAAGTAGAAGTGTAAACATCATAGACGGTCAAGTCTAAGTCGAGTATGTACTCTCAATCAATTAGGAATCAACCAGAGATAATTCTCATCTAAAGTAGTCAATGTAAAAGCTTAATATACATGATAACGAATATGAGGATAATCAAATATGATAATTTTACAGGAAGTCTCGTAAAACTTCTGATATATCAGATCCAATAGTAACGATGATATGAGAAAAGTTGGAAATTACATCTTCTACGTCATTCTCGGTCTTGGTCTTATTGTTGCTATACTAGGACTATTTGGATTTTTGACGATTAAGTGTCATAAGAAATGCTGCAACTGTTGTGTAAGTAGTCTTTAAAAATCTAAACTCTATTCAATCCTATTCTTTCTTGATTATTAAATATGCATTTTTTAGTATGGATTTTGGATATTAATGTGGGGTCTCATTTTTGGAGCTGTTGGAATTCTTTTAGTTTTGGTAGGAGGTACGAAAATCTTTATATCTATATTATTTTTGCAGGATAATCAATGGAACTATTAGATGCTGTGTGTGGTTCATCAACCAATAGCAAATATAATAATCTTCTCAAAGACATATCTGATACTTTAAATTCAATTGATAAAGACATCAATAAGTGGAGTGCCTAGTCATTCTGCACTACTGAATGCCCATGTAACTCAGACATGCAGGTCAGACTTTGGAATGAAGCTAGATTGAATTAAGTTTACAGAACATAGAATACTACCTTCGTAAAGAATGGATTTACTTATTACGCTATATACAGAAATGGCTCAGACGGTTACAGAAGCTTTGATAAATGCTTGACAGGCTACCTCTATCAAAAGGATTCCTCAAAATATAAGCTATCTGATTTCACAAGTAAATTCGTGAAGGAAATCGAGAATTTATTCGATTGTAATGGTATCTGTAATCCAGGCATATTCTACACCTACAAAGATTTAAAAGAAGGCCCACCGAACCAAGACTGTATGGAATCACTAAGAAAAACATTCAAAAATGTTACTGTCAATGTTGGCATTACTCTAGTAGTATCTTTCATATTCTGCTTCATTGCCTTTGTAACTCAGTATTGGCTTTGCAGGCCCATGCCCAAAGATGAGCATCGTCATGGACATGATGATAAAAAGAAGCATGATAAACATCACAAGCATATGCCTGTTTAATAAAACACTTAAAATGGATATCAATAAACATAAGGTTATCAGAACACAATGCCTAATTAGGTAGCCCCATATGGACCAGTAGACACTAGTGTGAGCTACAATGGTGGAGTTTCTCCAAATAATTCATACATGGGACAAATGAATTACTAACACAGCCCAAACATTCAATATTAGAATGGTTATAATGGCTACAAGCAGTATTGAAATCATTAATACTAAAATGGTTTGAATCAATAATATTAAATATATATTCTTAAAAGCTTAATTTAGTAGCAAAATTTGAATCATGGGGTTTTGGGGTTTTGGGGTTTTGGGGTTTTGGGG